GCTCTTATCAGGATGTATGTAACTACACCACTGGAATTTAAAGGTTCAACACATCTCTTACAGAATGTAGCTGTAGGGACCAAGGTCCTTGGACCATCTAAAGGTTCACTGAAAAATCACTGCCACGAGGCAGATCGATTAACTGGAGAAAAGGCATACAAGTTTTTCTAACGTGCATACACATACTTGTAAGTACCTAGAATTGGCAAATTCACTGAGACAGAAAGTAGAATAGAGGTACTCAGGGGCTGGGAGGAGAGAGGAATGAAGGGTTATTGTTTAATGGGTAGAGTTCAGAATGAAGACCCAAAGATACAGGGGAAATTGTCCACTTTTATGTTTAGGTTCAACAAAGTGTGGACAGCTGTGTAGACATATGATTGGACAAAAGGGCATGATCTGATGCTGACAGACTGAGTGGGGGAACCCAGCCAGGCCTGTCTGTCTAGATTATTCGTGGCCTCTCTGAGCAACATCCTTCCTTCTGGGTGTGGGGCAGGACCCTCTCTGGAATGGGGGTCTCATGCCCTGCAAACAAGTAGGTCAGATGCTTTCCTTATGGCCTGTTTTTACATGGAATAATTTTAGGTTTTTTTGTTTGTTTTGTTTTTAATCCATTTAATATTTTCAAAAATTTTAGGTTTTATGGCTGGCTTGAGGGAAAAGGGGTTCTGGTTTTTATGACCCACCTTGGGCAAGAGGGATTCTAGTTTCCATGGCCAGCTTCAGGGAAGAACGGGACTGAGAGGCAGGAGGGTTACAGAAAAACTTCTGCTTCTAAGGCCTTCATTCTGGGGTACTGTTTTCTGAGCTCCAGTATAGGCTACAATCTGTAGAGGTCGTATCCACTAACTGATCATCACGATAACGGAGTTCAAATTGGCATCGAGAACTCTAGACGACAAACTACCATTTTCCTTTGTCGGACGATCTTTAAATTCCATTTTTCCTTAGATGCCTTCTTTGTACCTGTCTCCCTTTATGCCTAAAGATGAATATATGGATGACTCTGCTAGATTTTTTTAAATCAAGGTGAAATTCATGTAACATAGAATTAACCATTTTATCTGCTTGCTCTTTACCTTAATGCAGATGAAAGATTTATCAGAACCACAAATAAATTGTGTTATGTTAATAAACATCACTTTACCGCATATCCCCACGAGGTTAACATATCTATTCACTCCCAATTCGCACTATGTGTAATGCTATGGCATTAAACAACTGCACTGGGCGTTTAGGCCCAGAGCTCATCAAGGTGGTAGGCACCAAGCACGCCCGTCCTTCTGGTTCCTTCTCTCCTGCTACCTCACTCTACTCCTCTGGCAGGGGAGTTACTCTTGGCTTCAGTCTGTTCTACAAAATAAGAAGCAATTACCAACTGACCCTCGAGAGTGCAAAGCACTTTGAAATCAGTAGAGCCCTATGAAAATATAAGATAAATGTCTACCACATGTGATCAGAAGGAGTAGGTAAAATAATATATGAGACAAAATATTTCAGATTCAGCTTTCTATGCAGTATTAGCTCAGTGGTATTTTTTTTAATATAATAAGGTAGCACCAATCAACACTGAATTTACTATCATAATTGGTTTAAACTACATAAAACCGCCTTACAGTTAATTTGCATAACTCATATAGGCATAATTGCATCACTCCAAGTAGAACAGATTCCAAACAGTAGAACTAAAAGGAAGGAAAATAATTGAGGGAAAATATCCCAAAGGAAAAAAGAAATCTTCCTAAAACAGAAAGAAAAAAAAAAATCTACCTACAAATTTCAGAAAACCTTTCTGGAATTACACTCGGGCATGCGTCGCTAATGAGATTAGGATGTTTGCTTATGTAATACCGAAAAGATGACAATTTAAAATGTAATGTCAGTAACAAAAGGCTGTAAGCTTGGGATTATAACATGTTTTGAGTGTGCATTCAAATGAGGATTAAAATTATTTGCAACTATAAGCAAGAGGCAGCTTTGGATATAGGAGCTGCTGTTTCCTCCTCTTTGTTGAGGGTGAAGAACGTGTTCAAGGCCACCTGCACCACAGATATTAAGACCAAAAAAAGTCACTAATGTGGAAAAGAGAATCCACGAGGCTACAGAACTTAATGGGAATACTTAAGAAGATTCCATTTCCTCATTTGGCTGGGTCTCCCCACTGAGAAAAAACTATCCTGTGATGTAGATGACCAGTCTTAAATTACTGGGCCCAGATATAATCTCAAGCACTCTAAACCAATAAATCATTTTATAAGACAATTCCCTTGCGATGTCAGGTAATCAATTCACTAGCCTGTCTGATCACTCCTGAAGTGACCCAATAATCTTGAATTTCTGGAATAGCAAAGGTGGGACTACTATCCACAAAGGTATCCATCTACTGTACCAAGAAATGTCATTCAAATAACTTGAGAAATACAACCTTAGAGACACCCAAAGTCACATGATACGTGATTTTAAAATGAGTAATTTATAGTGAAGTACACTTCTGTGTTGAAAACCAAAAACTACCACCAGCAAAATAAAATAAACAAAATTCGAACAATAACTTTGACATCTCTTTCCAGGAGAAAAAGCAATGCTTGTTTCCCTGGGAAAAACTGGTTTGGAGGTGCCTTGAAGCAAGGGAAAGACCAGATGGCATGAGGCAAACATCCTAGCTCAGCAGAGTCACCTAGGGTGCTGGGCAGTTGGCCAGGGCCATGTGAGGGAGGAAACTCCATCTGTACCATCATCCACTTAACGTCTTGGTCACATCAGCATTTGGGCTGACGTTGTGTAGAAACGTTATTTCCTGGCTGGATCTCGCTAGTGAGAAAAAGTTACCCTGTGTAGATGGAGGGTGCTTTTCTTTCATGTCGTGACTACAGATATCCTTTGTCGGTCTTCGTTCCCACTAGGCCATCAGAAGTTTGAGGCTACTGTGTTCCATTCCCGGTCACCTCCCCACTGGGCACACCTTGGGAATGCTGTCACTCTGAGAACTTACCTCGTGGTGAAGGTTCAGGATGAATTTCTTTTGCACGTGTGATACAATTAGTGTCCAGGAGCTAATATTTCTGTGGTTATCTCCCCACCTTCATTTCTTTCTAGCTGAAAATGACACTCACTTGCCCAGTCTCCTGCGGGGGTAGCTTAAACCTCACCAGGGTGAGAACATCCTGCCTGGTGCTCCTGGAGCCATCTGAGGCCATGAGAATATTGACTACATACTCAGGATGGCAGGAAACGTGGGAGAAGCCAGGATCCTTCCCGATATCCTCAAGTACTAAGCCAATCTCAGCACCTCCCTGTCATCAGTCTTCTTGATAAGTGATATTAAAAAACATAAACAAAAACCATCCTATTGCTTAAGCCACTTCTAGTGGGTGCTCAGTGCTTTTTTACAGAAAGAATTATAACTGGTATGTTTGGAGATATCCTTATTCTGATCATGATTTACCAAATAGAAAAAGGATTGTGAAGGGAAAGAGAAATAAAAATCCTACCTTTTTGGGTACACATCCAACATTCACCTAGAAAAGAAAAAGGACATACTTTAAGGATACTCAGTTCAAACCATCAAACAAATCTGCAAGAAATATACCCTAAGCATCAAGCAAGGAGACGTCCTTGAGTTCTAAGTCACAATGAACTATTAATAAATTCTATAGTTACTTCCTTTTTTCTATTATAGAATTGGAAAAGATAAGATTATTTTTCTTATGTGATGAAGTTGGGAATTTTACTCATCAGCATGTTCTGAAAAAAAGCAGAGAGAGAGAGCGCAATCAGACCATTTGAGCAGCTGTCTTAGGAAGTTTCTGGGAAATTTCATGTGGAGTAGGTGGATAAACACCTGGGATGGCCACTGAACAAAACCTCTTTGGAAAGCCACATTATTCTTCAGGGCCAAAGGACAATGAACCAAGCAGTGAGATTCATCCACGCCATTAAGTCTTACAGAATTGCTAGAGACAGACCACAAATTTGACTCTTAGCCTTCTGGCAGCCAGTACACAAAAATAAACACAAATAGTTGTAAGACTTCATCAAGCAAAAAGTAACCAGATATTTAACAAAGTAACTATTCATACTGGTGAGGCTAGAGAGAAATTCCTCCCAAGGGTCCTTATACACAAGCTTCAGTGTACATCCTGGTACCTTCATTTTTGTGCACACCTGTTAATTTCCTTTTGACCATTTTCCTAAAACTTCCTTTTAAAAAAAGCTGGATTAAGTAGGACTCTAATTTACAAGGCCTGGAGGGTAAAAATTGTGCACTTGACTGAAGGAATAACCCATTTGGTGTACTCTAGGTGAGGAGCTGCTTACAGAAGAAAAACTAGATTGGTCTCACTTTTTTGAAAGACAAATTATAGACTGTTAGCTCTCTAGACCTGCCAGTGAATGCGTATTTCAGATGCCCTTGAACCTTAGAAATACTGACTGGCAGGCACTGGTGATGTTGCCTTGGCGAATACAATGAAGTTAGGAGACTTAACTATGTATCTGTAAAAAAAAAAAAAAAAATCAGTATGTTCACTCAGAGGGGGTGGGGCAAAAAAATGTTCACTCAAGTCTGTTGACACAGAGTAAAGATTGAATATTTAGAGACTGGTAAATATTCACCAAAAGCATAAAAATATAAGGTATATTGTATGGGACTTGGGATGTTGATTAACCATTAGGAAACAAACTTGAGAAAACCTAAATACAAAATGGCTTTGATTTATAACTACTTCTAAGCATTTTGCCTAAAGAAGTAACCAAGACATAGAAAACCTGAATGCACGGAGATCACGTTATATATAAACACATATATGACTACAGTTATTTTCATCATGCTATTAGTATACAGAAAAACACTTATGGAATAAAAGTGAAAAGGACTAAATACAAAATTACATTTAAAAAAAGAAAAAGTAAAAAGTTGGTAAAGAGTTGAAAGATCGACTATAACCAGTGTTAGCAAACACTTCTCCTTGGGCCCAGCCATTCTACTTTTAGGAATGTACCTAGAGAAATAAGTTTTTTTTGTTTTTTGTTTTCTAGTGGAGGAGAAATAGTTTTACGTTATGCTCATGTGCCCAAAGACGCATGTATAGAGATAGTCCCTGAAGCACAGTCATAATGAACAATAGGAAACAAGTTAACCATCCAACAGCAGGGAAGTTATCAGTTATTTACTTATTTGGCATTGTTTTTCCTGAAAAGAGAGGGGTCACTAGGACACTGATGACTTGCAAAAATTAAATAAAAGAAAAAGAAACAAAGAGTTGGGTCATATACTGCCTAGTTTTAGACTTGGGTTTTTTTAAATGAGATTATGCTACAATAAGAATTCTAAAGGCAACAGAAGCAAGAACTCATGGGATTGAGAAGGGTACAGAAGTTAAGCCTAATAAAATAAAGGATTCGACACCTACGGCAGCATTACAAACACACTACTGAGAAAGTACTTTATATCAAAGTTAGTCAAATACTTGGCACCAGTGTGAAAGCCGGGCCATCTTGGCCCTTAGAAGAAGCATATTCCAAAATCCTTTCTTAAATTGCCTTAAATAATTTTAGAATAATCTATGGCTTTCTACCTAGTCTGCCCTCGCATCTGGCCAGCTGAGGATATGCTATTTCTCAACCCTCAAGCAACCTGACGAAGTTATGGGTATAGATGGAACGAGCCATTTTTAAGGAAGGAGGATGACGGGAGTTTCTGGAAGGTGGCAGAAACCCCATGGGAGGAACAAGCCTCATGCCTTAGTGGGGGGCGATCTTATTATCAAACCTGCCTTTTCCAATTCATTTGGCAGGCAATGCACTTCCCGGTACCTTCAATCCACACCTTCATATCCTGCAGTCTGCAGCTTAAATTCACTGAGAGTCTTCAACTAGGACAGACTCCCAAACCAATTTCCCCCAACACAGAGGTGATTTCAGGATGCTGGATAAATTCACTCTGCTGGTCCTCTGCCACCTTCTCTGGCTTTCCAGGAAACTTTAAAACCAATTCAGGGTGTCATAAAACACTAAATGTTCTGAACCACTCTCATAAATCATCAATTTACTTCTCATGTACATTTGAAGCTATTTTAAAGTTATTCAAGGCAATTAAAAAAAAATTTGGAATATGCTTCTTCTAAGGGCCAAGATAACCTGACTTTCACACTTTCATTCATTCAGAAGTATTGACTGAGCACCCACTTGGGCCAGGCATTATGCAAGCTAAAGCACTAAATGGATACAGTCCCTGCTCTCATGGAGCCCACAGGCCTAGCCAGAGACAGGCTCTCAGCCCATCCCTGAGCAGCGGGTCAGAAAGCAGAGGAAGAGGGTGGTGGAAAACTGTGACCTCGTTGGGCCAGAGAACCTGCCCAGCACAGCACACTTTGGGGCCTAGGGCTCTGGTGGAGAGAATGTCTAGGACCCCGAATTCCGGCAGCTGACCCTGTCCAATTCTGGCAGCTCCTGGAGATAGGCCTCTGGGGGTCTCCACTGGTTTTAGAAACCTGTTTATACTCCAGTACAACATGACTTCACGGCCTCTGACTTGGAAGGGATGCCAAGCACATTTAGTTACCTCCAAAGCTGAGGAAGCCAGGGGTGAAGAGCTGGTACAGTCCTGCTCACCCCTGCCCTCCCTTCTTCAATGATGTGTGCATCAGGTTGTCAGAGCCTCAAGTCAGACAAGACAGACAGGGAGTTTGACTCTGGGCTCTCCCACTTAGTGGTTGTAGCTGGCAAGTTTCCAAATCCCTCTGAGCTCAGTGTCTCATTTCAAAAACTTGGAATGACAGTACTTCCATTATAGAGGTTTTGAAAAGGTTAATGTTACGTAAGTACCTATGTCTAAGTTATGATAGATCTGCCAGTGACACTGACAGCTCTGATATTATTTCTGCAGTCTGCTGGCTCCTGTGTGCACACAGGACATATGGAAAATGGGGGACACTTTCCCCAGGGGGGTCCCTATCTGGAACAGATCAACTGAAGGCAAAGAAGTTTGCCTCCCAGGCTGGGGCACAAGTGTGATGAGTTCTCAGGGCTCTGACTGCCCAGAGGCGCACACGGCTGATAAGACCCTAAGCCTACCAAACTTTCCATCTGGCGGATTCCTTCGAAGCATGTTGGTTTTCCAGGTCGGCCTTAACTACTAATAAGCCAGAGCAAGAGACAACTTTTTCGTGTGCTCTTCAGTAAATTCATCGTCAGGGGACTCTTGTAACTTGGCTTCCCTTTCCAAACTGACGCTACATCTCGGAAAGCTTCCTGTGCCAACCAATCTGATATCCAGAATCTTTCTGTTCAGTGGACCTGCCAGCACTGTCAACAGTGAGGACAGGGAGCCTCTACACAGAGTCCGGTGACACAGGTGACAAAAGTCAGAAGCTTCATCACTTTTCCCAGGGCTTGCCCCTTTACCTTCAATTCTGCCTAGACAGGTACAAACTTCACACTGCCCATGCTGGTGGTAAAATGAGACCTTGCTTAATGTACAACTGTACCTGCCAAGAATGTCACTTGTGCTTAATCATAAGCCTGCTTCCCCTGATCCCCACTCCCATCCTTCACCACAGAGTTGCCTACAGTTTCCTCCTTCCGTCTTCCTTCTTTGCAGCCTAAAACCTAGTTCAAGACCAGGAGGAGAAAGCAGCACGTAGAAAACAGACCGGTCATCATTTGCAAAACAAAACACTATCGATTCATCAACCCATTCTATCAGCAGCAACAGAGTGCGTATCTACTGCGTACAAGACACTGTTCCAGGGGGCTTGGAATGTATTGGTGACCAAAACACAACAGGTCCCTGTCTTTGTAGCATTTCATCAGCTTTATACCAACAGTGGCTAAACAGGATGCTGTCTGGACACATTTAGCCCCATCCCTGGCACATATTAAGTGTTCAACATCCATGTCTCCACCCTTCAAGGCTCTTTTGATTTCAGATAGTTTAGTTTAGGGGGTATTAACCTTGGGAAAGAAAGAAAAAAAAGAAATTCTGTACAAAGCAGAATCTAAAGCAGGGGTGGGGAACCTGTGGCTTTCTAGGTCCTTCAGTGTGGCCTTTTGACTGAATCCAGATTTTATACAACAAATCCTTTTATTAATATATTTTTGTTCATCTTTCATATTTTTATTTTATTTTTAAAATGAACGTATTCAAAATACTAAAGAACAAATAAGTTTCAACGAAATAGTCCTCCCAGATTGACTGCCACAATTAGAACATCAGTAAGTCATAAGGGCTAAATTGACGGCTCCTACACTCATGATTTAGTTCTAACTTTCCCCACCTGACTGGAGCCACTACTGCAGGAGGCTAGGTGGCGAGAGTTTATGAGGGTCAAGAACACCAGTCTGTTATCAGCTTTTGACAATGGCGCACTGAGTTTCTGTTTGAAATGGAATTTGTGAATAGTTGCACAGCTCAACAGTATTTTTAAACTCTGTCTGCGTAACAGTCCATCATGTCAAAGACAACCAAGAGAACACTGAAGGGAGAAAACAGATTTTTTAATGAGGATTGGGAATTGCA